TAAAACAGGCTAAAACCAAAATTTTTTTTCATTGTGCTCTTGTTGTATAGAGGCAGGTATTACCTGGTATTTGTACTTTTCTGTATCTTCATGTGATGAAATGTGAAGAATCCCTAGATCTGGAGTCAGGAGGTAAGGATGCAAATCCTACCTCTGCCTATCACATTTTAGCCCCAATGACCCTGAGTTAATCATTTCACACTGTTAAGCTTTAATTTCCTCATCTATAAAATGATGATGATATAACCTAAATCATCAGATACATAACTCTAATTCTCTGAAGTTAAAAACAGCCTAGAACCTAAGGTGGTAAGTCCTTTACCAATGGCTAACTGAATCTGATTTTGAAGTGGAGGATAATTAACAAGACAATTTAGAACGGTGGTTCTCAAACTTGAATGTGGATACTTCCACAACCACTGTATGGATTGGTAAAATACAGATTGTTGGGATTTATCCCCAGGGTTTTGAGTAAATCCAGAGTGGAGTGATCTGAGAATCTCCATTTCTAATGAGTTCCCAGGTGCTGATGGTGCTGTGGCCAACCTGTAAGATCCACTGGTTAGAGGAAAGGCTGAGCCTAAGAAAGCAGGGAAAAGAAATTGTCATACCGAAAAAACGGTATTAATAAATATTAGGACTGCAGGACTGCATACTGCAGTTCCTGCCAAGTTTTCACTCTCCTAAGTATCGCTTGATGATCAACAGAGGATAGGGAAAGAGGAAGGCAAATTCTTGTCCCTGTAATACCTTTTACTAGGTGGGGCTTAGGAAGGAAGGGACAAGGAAGGTCTCACTCTTGACCCCTTAAGCTCTGGCTCTAGATATGACTGAATGAACCTGGAGAATTATGATCAAAGTGACCCACTGAAGGTGCCAAGCAGTACAAAAGTCCTCTAGCCAGCATGGCACAGATGTTGTTACCCAAACAATGATATTTGCCAGGAGGTGGAATTTCTCTTTCCCATCACTTTAACTATATGAGTTCAGGAATGACACTGTAGGTACAAGCTCCCAATTGTCCTCAGCAGGGTTCCAAAGGGGAGCTTTTCCTTCAGAAAAAGACCTCTACATTTGGCCAAGTGGTCAGCATGGTGCCTCACCCAGCTAAGGACCACTGAGAACAGACTTCAGCCGAGTGAAGTTTTTATTTAGGTAAATTCAGAAATTTTTTGTTTAAGCAGAAAATAATTCAATTACTAATAACAAATGAGTCAAATAAAATTAAATTCTGATTGTAAGTTTGATCAAATTAGTGCTAACCTGTCTCTTAGAACATTATCCTACTAATGTATCTAATTTTCTAATTTGCTTTTTTTTTGTATTGAGTACAGGGTCTACAGGGTCTCACTATGTAGACTGGACTTTGTAGTGATCCTCTTGTTTTCAGCCTCCCAAGCGCTGGGATTACAGGCACATGCCATCACACCCAGTCTCAATCTCAGTTTCACCGTGCTCTGGGGGTAGGGCTGGCACGGAATGCCGAGGATCAAACCCCAGCCGCTGCGCTCTGCCTAAGCAGATGCTTTAGTATGCTGACCTATCTGGCCAGCCCTTAATTTGCTTTTTTAAAAATTATTTATTTATTTATTTATTTATATTTTTGTGTGTGGCCAGCTCAGTCCACCAGGGGGCGGGGTTGGCTGGCATGTGGTGCTGGGGGATTGAACCGCGGTCCCTGTGCTTTGCTTAGCTTGATCTAAGTAGGTGCTTTAGACCACTGAGCCATTAATTTGCTTTTTATAACTTGTCAAATACATTTTATTTAATCATAAAAAAGAAATTTCTTGTTGGATACTGAAGTTGGCAGCTTTTGCTAGCTGTCAAGCAATGAGAGTATGAACAGTTGAGATGTGTCATACTAACTTAAAGAAATTAAGCTACTCTTAGAGACTTCCTGTTTAGCACAGGAACATAGAGTTTCCTTCTCTAAATCTCACCTTCCAGGGCCACTAGTCAGGAAACTACATTTCCAAATGAAGAATGGATTGTCAGCTTTCAGATGACAGGAGCTTGTTCCAGCAACTGATTCTGTAATTCTGTAGCATGTGACCATTATAATAATCCACCTTAAGAAGAAAGTGGTCTCCATCAAGAGAATGAGTTCAAGGTGGTTATCTAAAGTGGACACTGAACTCCTGCATCCCCAGGATAGGCCTTATATTAGCCACCGCTACTGCCAACTCTTGAGACCTCTGGGAGGAGTGAGACTGTTCTCCCTTGTAGATGAGAAAATGTCATGTCATGTCAGATGTTTGGTCTTGATGCAGCTAAGTCTTTAGTTGGTTTCACTTGTGGATAATTTTCTATTTGCTTTTGTCCTTTTTTGCATCCCTAATGTAGTGGTTCTTGGAGGGATGTGCTGAGATACCAAACCACTTCTGCTTTGGAAGACATGAAGCGATATAAAAAATGTCTTCATGGCAACTATAGGAACATGAAGTAAGAGCAGGACACGGGGAGGGGTCAATAGGTCTCATAGGATCTCCTAAATATCAGACTTGGAGAGGTAGGACTTGGGCAACCCAAATACTTTCCAACAAGCAAAAGAAGCAAAATGGCCTGCACAAGAAAAACCTTGTCCCACTGAGGCTTTTTCCTAGTTTACAGTGATGAAAAGAACTTAAAGCTGCCTGGCACTAAGAAGAGAATCAAAAAATTTCTACAACCAGATACTGAGCATTTTAGCCAGATACAGCCAGATACTGAGCAGTTTATAACTTGTCAAATTCATTTAATCATAAAAAAAGAAACTTGTTTGATACTGACGTTGGCAGCATTAGTTGGTTCACCAAAAAAAAAAAAAAAAAGGAAAAGAAAAAAAAAAGAACAGATACTGAGCACACAGTATTCCTGTTAGAGCTCTCGAAACCATGGGAGTAGTGCTAAGGGATTTCTCTGGAGAGGTTCTTCTGCAGTACAGACTCACCCCTCTCTAAAGTTCACCCATCAAAATGTCAAATAAGCCTCGGTATTGAAAGTGCACCAATACCAACGTGGTTAACTGGCCAGGTTGGATGTTGCAAGCCACACCTTGGCCACCTCGGACACTGTGGGTGGAAGCAGGTGGCAAAGGAAGGCTTCTATTTCCTTCGGTTGCTACACAAGTTTTGGAAGCTCAGTTCTCAACCCAGCCCTGTCCTGTCCTGCTGTGCCATGTCATGCTTAGGAAGAAGAAAAAAAAATCAAGCTCAGCTTGTATTTATACCAACGCAGGTCAGGCAGCATACCCAGCCCTGGCTTGTCATATCAGGGGGGCAATAAAGCACAGAAGCAAATAGAAAATTATCTGGAAGTAAAATCACTTAGGGTTCAGCTGCATCAGGACTAACCATCTGGCATGACATTTCCTCATTTGCAAGGAGGAGTGGTCTGACTTCTTAGTTTCACATGTCTCTTGCATTAATGCTCTATACTGCAAAATTATACACAGAAATTGTCTCAAAAATAGACTCCTGTGACATGGCAGGATGTGTCAGAGTGTGAGAAGCATCTAATGTGGCACTTTATAGTTTTCCTTCCTGGAAGCAATAGTGACAAATTTTCTCCTGAATCAGCAGTCTCACAACTTGTCAAGAATCAAAATGGAGAAAGATAAAGGAAGGGAACAAACTCTAAGTTGTTAAGAAATTGAAAATGGAAAAAAAAAAGTGGGCCAGTCTAGTGACTCATGAGAAACACAGGCTGAAAAAGGAGAACTCTGTCCTAAGTTATCAAATCAGCTCTCACACTGTTTCATATATTCTATAGATTCTGTATCATAATCTCTTCTAGGCATCATCCCCTTAACCTTGCTTCAGCCAAGGTCAGCTGAAGTAACTGGAGGGAATCTTACATTTTTGAAAGATTACTCTGTGCTAAGTGCTTTGCTGGGCATTTCGACAAAAGTCACCTCTTTTAATTCCTGTAAACATCTCTGTTTGGGAGCTCAGGATACAAGAGGGAGAGATTACGTGACTTGCCTCTGGTTACCAGCTACTTAGGAGTAGAGACAGAATTTAAACTGAGAACAGATGAAGCCATAGCCAGTAATGGTGAACTATGGCTAAAAGCCTTGCTCAGATCTTCATTCACTAAGAGGAAGAAAACATTGTCATACAGATGTTTTGTGGACAAAGATTGGTCTAATTTTGTGTTTATGTGCATGTTCATGTGTGCTTTTTTAAATTAAAAAGAGGAGGGGATAAATACATACAATAATAAACAGCCATTCAGAGATTTTAAATTATTAAATTTATATAAAAGTCTTTATATCTTATAGTGCTAGATATTAACAAACTGCTATATTGTTCATACTAAAAGATGAGTCATTACAACTTATGAATAAAAAATGATCATCACCTGACACAAAGCTATGATTACAACCTTAAAATATACTCAAGAAAATCTATAACCCAAATATGCTTTCTAAATACATTTTTTAAGTTTTGTATTAAAGGACTCTATAGGGATAATTGCACTCTACTTTTTTTTAAAGGTAAGTAAAAAGGGTGATTAAAGCAAGGAACTACATTAATATTTAAGTACACTAGCATCTTTATGATTGAAGGTAGGCTAATTTTCCAGCAGTGAATAACAGGATAACATTATTCTCAACTCTCACAGCTTACACTCCATCCTTGTGTCTGCCCTGGCAGTAATAACTCTGGCTCTTAACACTCAGGTCTGTATTGCCTAGCCTCTATCCTCAAGCCCCTGTGAATCTTAGTTTAGTCAGAAAAGGTTATGCCTAGGAAGCACCTTGGAGACCACCAAATCCAACCACTCGCTGCAGAGACAAGTGAATTAAGTCCCAGAGAAACCAATCAGCTTCCCAGTCATACAGCAAAGTGGCACCTGAGTTAAATGGAAGTCTTTTTTTTCCTATACTGGTGGTGATTTCCACTGGATTGGTGGTACTGAAAGGAGGCACAGTGAGCCAAAAGAAAAAAGGACAGAGGCAGGTCTCTTTTATAGCCTTGAGTTGGCTGGAGTTGGGACAGGGACTCCTAGGACCTTACCTCTTCCTCCCGGAGTTTTTGCTTCCTTTTCTCTTCCACAGCAGCCCTCTTCTGGTCTTCCCGCTGCCGCTGTTCTTCCAGTTTTCGCCATCGTTCCTCAATTTGCTTTTCGTACTGGATTTTGGCTCTTCTTTGTTTCTCCAGAATCTGCTTTTCCCGAGCAGCTAGAGAAGGAAAGTGGAGTAGAGGTGTCATTCCAGAGCACTTTATGTGGTTTGGATTAAGACCAACAATACAAGACCAGAGACCAAAACATAGTCAGGTGAGATCCCAGGGTGCAATGATTTAGATAAAAGACTATGGCACTTGTATCACTAGCTGAGTGACTCTGGGCATGTTAACCATGTAGTATCTCTACCTCAGTTTCCTCCTCTATGAAGTAGGGAATGCTTATGTTTACTATATCACAATATAGTAAAGACTAAAACAGATAATGCACATGAAGTACACACACAGTAACTAACCTTGCATATAGGAGCTATGAATATTATTACTATCGTTAAGTCAAACTTTGTATATAAACTATACATCAACTTGAGAAACCATAGTTTTAAGAGGACGTTCTTTCAAAAGCATTTAACAGTGCATACACAATGCATCATAAACTGATGTGGTCAAAGCATTAAAATACATGACAGACTGGTTATCCCACCAAGACATTTACTAAGAGGCCCTTAACTCCACCTGACCAAAGGTTCCTCACAAGTGATGCCTCAGCTTCCCAAGGGGTGGCCAAGCAAGGATATGGAAGCTCCTTGTTTACCTTAATTCAATGAGCAATCATCTACTTACCTCATGGCACCCTTGGAGAACACTTTATAGTATTTATTTGTCTACAGCACTTTCCTAACTGGGGCATCCTGTTCTAAAATGACTGTTTGATGTATTTGGTACAGGGTCTCACTACACAGCTTAGACTTACAGAGATCCTCCTGTTTCAGCCTCCCTAGTGCTGGGATTACAGATGTGCACCACCATGTCTCTATGGCTGGCTCAGCGTGCCTGGGAGCGGGGACAGTGTGGCATGTGGTGCTGGGGATTGAACCCCAGTCCCTGCACTTGCCTAAGCAGGTTCTTAGTCTGCTAAGCTATCTCACTGGCCCTTCTAAAATGATTTTAAGAGCTGATTTTCTCAGTTATCCCAGAAATGACCTTCTCAGATGCTCAGAAGGGAAGCTGAGTGAGTGTACATAGCATACACATGAGGGTATCAGACTTCCCAAGGTTTCTCTTCCTTTACCATCATGTCTGTAGCCACTACCATACTGGCTACGACACATACGTTCTGTATTTGCTAAGTGAGTGAATGAACTGTTTAATGGATTAGGCAATATTTGATAACGTGCCAATAGTCCTGTGGATTTCCTCCCAGTTCTTCATATTTAACTAGCAATTGCCCTAGTTCTCTTCTCATTCATCCACAGATTTCTAAGGACATACAGAAGGCTACTACCCCATATCTTCCCTTTCTTGGACCTAGACAACCAAAGTGTACAACTTACCCAGATATTTTTCTCTTTCTTCTCGTCTCTCTTTGGCTAGTCTCTGTCTCTCATCTGATTTTAAAAATCCATCCATACCTATAGAAGAGAAAACATGATGATACTTGGTTTTTCACCCTTTCTCTGTTTGTGGAGCACTAGAGGCAGTTGGGCATACGTCCTTGGTCTGGCCATCCATATGTCAACCACTGCCATCACTTACCTAAAGAAAACCCAATTTATCACTCTCCACCACACATATGCAGCCAGGCCTTAACAGTTGAAAGGCCACAGCGTCCATGAGCATGTGCAAAGTGGTTTGGACCCCTGTGGTAGTCCTCTGTCCCCAGGCCTGACCCTGGCCCAATCCTGGCCTGCAGTGCAGGCAGGAAGAAAGTACAACGAGTGACAGAGGGGCCTGGCTACATGCAGAGAAGCTCACCAAGCCTCTAGTCCAGCTCCCAGCCCAGAGGCAGTGCCACCTGGTGGAGAAGAGAAGCACAAAAGTGCATAAGATTTTCGATACAGATTATTACAAAGAAAATAAACATTTCACTTTCTGAAAGGTGCCAACTGGAAGGGACACAAACAAGCTCTTCAGCAGAGGGGCTCTTCTATGATGCTCCTGTAAAATTTAACACTTAACATTTTAGCTCTGCCAAGCTTGCACTGATTTCAATTTAGTAACTCAGAAACAAAGAAGAAAGGATATAATGTACCTCTATTTACTTGTCATTCAAATATCCACAACAAATAAACAGAACAAATGACAGCTCTCAGAAATGTCCAGGAAATATCCCCAGAGCCATGCACCTCTACCTAACCCCTACAGGACCCTATGAGCTTTCTGAATTAAAGACTAAATGGTTATTCACAGTTGTTTTAAAGCTAGAAATAATTTACAGCATTCTGTTACATCTGGTTGTTCATGAGTAGTAGCTACATAATGTTGAAGCATACCCTCCTAAAGAAATCTGCTCTAGTGCTAATGTAATCACATTCACATCCCCAGTGCCTAGGCCTTCCTCTCAAAGCATCACATTGGCTTCGTAGGATGCCTTGCTGTCATGTCAACCTGTAGCAAAACAAGCAAAAATTGTGCTGTCCCAAAGGAGCAGTGAACAAAAGAGCAGGGCCTAAAAAAACAAATGCTGACACCTGTGATGCCAGCAAGCTGACATCAATGTTGCCCCTGCCGCAGATAACAGTGCTTCCTTGGAGCACTGTCTGTTCTTTGATTCTGCACCTGGGGTGATTGATTAGTCTTATATAAACTTAAAAGTTTGAAAACTGCCAGAAGGTAAAACAGATAAATTGCTTGTTTTCACAAAAGTTATTAATACACACTCTTTAGCCTGTTTGTAGTTCTTAATAAATAGAAAATGTTTCAGTGGCTCAGGGCTCACTCAGAGGGAGACAAAGCTCTCTTGAGTCCCCTGACGCTGTTAATCCAGTCTGCTGGTTGTTTCTTTTGGCTCCAACTAAAGCAATACATCAGCAACCTGTGCTCCTTCCAGGGAGGATCTTGCACCTGGTATCCAAGAGAGGGGCCCAGAAGTCTGGCCTGCAATTCAGGCAGTGGGAATGTGAATAGATGATGTGACAAACTGTCATGATTCTCCCATGTTTCTGGTTTTGCAGGCTGCTTTATCAAGGATAGTAAAGTTCAAGAGAAAAGTAGTAGAAAATCAACAGTGGACTACAATGCCCTCCTCCATATTTCTTCAGTCAATTCTTAATTATTTTGAGGCTACCAATGATATGAATTTAAAGGCCAATTACTCAGCTCATTCTAGGTCTCCCATATGCTGATTAAACTCTCTTCCCAACCTGATGGCAATGCTGGCCTTTCTCTCACATACTTTTGGTGTTACAGTTTCCCTTCTCCATGCCTTCTTCATTACCTGTTGATGAACAGTTCCCCAGACCCATGATATCCTGTCTCCACACAGTTTGTTAAACCATTATTTGATTCTCTTTTCCAGCAGAAATATCTGTAACAGTCTCCCCTAGTAGGCTCCAGGTCCATGTATGACTGACATATCGTTGGGTCTGCTCAGCTCCAGCTTTAGAGCCCTTCACCCAGTAGCTCCAAAATAAACACACAATGCTCCAAAGGCAGACATGAAGTTAATGGCAGGGGACCATGGAGAGAAAATCTTTTGTTCTTATGATCTTGATCTCAAGACTTTCATTAGTAAGAATCTGTCCTGTGTGAAAAGCTAGTAAAAAAAAAAAAGCCTAGGATTCCTGAACAGATGCTTCCCTCAGCACCCACATGAACCTACCCACCTAAGCGGTACCCAAATGTTGCTCTATACTGTCTTTTCCACCTTCTTGCTAGTAATAGATCCGTCCCACATCTAAGGTAATTCTGAGAACTGTTGAAAGTGTTATTCAAATTGAAAAAAGAATGAAAGAAAAAGAGTAGAAAAAAGTGCCAAGCACATCAAACTGTCTACATCACCTTAGTTTTACAAACAGAATGGTGGTTGTTCAACGGACATGCACAGTCTTTGGCTGCCCCCTTGTGGGCACATGCAAGAGCTACACCTTCAAATCATTTCCTTGCCATCATGCATCACAAGAGGTGATAATCAAACAGTTACTAGACTGCTCTAATGAGGCCTCTAAGCAGTTACTATGCACCAAGTTCACTGCTCCAATTTACAGGACCCAAATATCCAAGGAGGGCAAGAATACTATTATAATTCTTATCCTATAGGTTCAAAAACAGAGGCACAGAGAGGTTAATTACCTTTTTACAGGCCAGAAGTAGAAAAAGTAGATTCTAAAGCAAGAACCAGACTTGAAAACCCACATTCTATATTACTGCTTTTGTAAAGGAGGAAATATAAAACTATGACCTTATTTCTGTGACCCAGTGATGTGCACAGGGAACAAATTCTATCCTGGTACCAAGGAAGAGCCTGTAAATCTGGGGACCAGAAGTGAGAGCTTGACTCATTAGAGACGTGCTTGTGAGCCGAGCCCAGCCCGGTACAGATACAGCAACTGTCCAAGTGTTGTTTGCTCCTCAAAATAGTGATAGGAAATGTACGTTCACCAATGTCTTACACACTGATACTCAGTGGGAAATGGGGGTAGCCACAGGGTAGTCAGGACAACTGTAGGCATCTCCTCACTTATGCCAAGCAATTTAGCTTTGTCCCACTTTAGGGGGTAGACTGACTCAAACAGCCCCAATGGGGCTTACCTAAAATCTCTGGGCTGTGCATTTCATAGCCACAAGCCATGTGTGGCTATTTAAAATTTAAAATAATCAAAATTAAGTACAAGTTCACTTTGTCAGTTACAATGCACACATTTCAAGCACTCAACCACCACATGTGGTTGGTGGTTACCTGACTGCATAGAGCTGAATGAAATGCCTAGCAGCTCACTCCTATTATTCTCCCCCTTCATGGTTAGCTGTTCTGGGGCAGATAAGGAAAATCAGTACTAGACTTCAGTTATAGAGTTCAATTTTGCTAGATAAGGTTGAGGTGGGGCATGCTCCTTTACTCCAAATAGTATGTAACAAGCCAAGAGTGTGACATCCTTTCAAAGAAAAGTAGCCATATAAATGACTCACATATCCAGCTTCTACCCTTTGCTATCAATGATTCTCCAGAGGCTGCTGAGAAAAATATTCTGGGCTCATTCCAATGTAAGGTGGGGTGGAGCACAAACAAGACGGTATGGACTTGATCAGTTATTACCTCTACCATAATGCAGTCAGATTTAAACCAGAGGAACTCTGGTAGAGTCTCATGAACACTAACACCAGGAGGTATCTTTTAAGGAATAATATAATCAAGGGTTGTTACTTAATTCAGTTCTAAAAGTAAGCCTGTATAGACTAAAATTGGAGTTTTAATTGTCCTCCCCAAGTATCCCTTATCCCACATGTCTTACATGTGTACATTTACTGTCTTACTCTTTATTTAAACCAAGATCCAATTTTATCTTTGAACCCCATCAAAACAGAGAAAAGATTCTTGCTAGCCAGGGATTGAAGAAGGGCAAAAAGTAGGACAAAGACAAAAAGGGATCAAGGGACACCCTAGGTAAGGGGCCCTATCAAGGAGGGATGTACAAGGGTACTCATGTCAAAGCCATCCCTACCCTACTCTTGACATGATGATGTTTCCCAGGGCAACAGCATTCAGGTAAATGTACATCTCTGAGACAGAGGCCCTTTTCTAGGCAACATCATTATGGGAAATTAAAAACAGGGATTTTGAGTAGCCAAACAATTTTGTATTAACAGAGTTACATAATTTCTCATACTTCACTGATTTGCTTGGAATAACTTCCTGTTATCTTTGGACTGCAGCACCATAGTTTAAGAAACTTATTTTAAAATGAATTTTATTAGCCTGAAGTACTCTACTAGAATATTAATGAGCTGATATTAGTCAATTATTCATAGTACTGGTAAGAACCATTATTGAGACAAAAAGTTTTAAGGGAATCCAGCTGTGTTTGACTTTCAAAAATTAACTGCGTTAAGTGAATTTTAAAATAACCTTCCCAGTTAAACTCATATCTGTGCTAGTAGAATGTTCAGGAAAAAGAGATGTCCAAGGTGCCACAGGGAATCTGGGCAAAAGACAGGAAGCCTACCTGTGTCTGTGTCTCTCTCCCTCTTATAAAACCACTAGGATTCAATCATCATGATACTAGCATAAATGATCTTATCCTAATTACTGCCTAAAGGCCCTACCTCTAAACACTATAGTGAAAATCGGGAGTGAAGAATTCATGTAACAGGAAGGCCAATGGGAGCCACTCACATTCTCTTTGATCTCTTCATGAATGACCAGCGCCCTCTACTCTGCAGACCTCATGAGTACTGAGTCTTTCCTACATTAGGGGTGACTGTGATTTGTACTGCAATGACCAGTTTAAGTACACAGACACCAGATCACTACTTCTCAACTTTGGCTATACAGTATAATCACCAAGGGAGCTTTCAAAAAATATATAGGTGCCTGGGTTCTGTTCCAGATTTTGGTCCAGTCATTCTCTGCTGTAGCCTGGGTTTTGGTGCTCCAAAAGTTCCCCATAGAATTCAAATGTATACCTAGGCCTCA